CGCCCCCCACCCCCGCCGCCACCGCGCGCCCCTCTTCCTTTCTTTCACCTTCCCCTGCCATCCTCCTTTCCTTCCTCTGGAGAAAGGCCTCTCTCTCCGTGTTCACAGCGGACCTTGATTTAAATGTCCATACAATTAAGGCACGCGGTGAATGCCAAGAATGGGGCTGACTGAGCACCACGGTCCGCCAGGGCCCGCCAAGGAAGGAGCGACCGAGCCTAGGCGCCCTCCGCAGACCTCAGCGCTGCCGCTGCGGCTGCGGCTGCGGCGCGAGGGGAGGGGTCGCGGGCTCCCGCCTGGGCTAGCTGTCCCGCACAGGAGCCCTTGGGGTGGTGGTGAAGTTGCTCCTGACAGACGGGCTTAGACCGTGCACACAGGCTGAGAGGGAACCGAGCCCATCCTGTGACAGAGACACAGATCTGGGCAAGCACATATGTAGGGTGGGGGGTTGCCTTTAAGCTCATTGCCGATTGCTTGTGTGCCTATCTTTCTCTGGGTGCATTGTACGTGGGTCGACACCTTCCTCCGTGGTGGTGTTTTTGTTCTGGGCTTAGCTTTTGATTCGCCCGTTAAAAAAAAATAATTTGGCATACCCGAGACTGGCAGACCGCCCCAGGGCCTGGACTGCAGATATATTGTGTTCTACTTGAGGTTTCAGGGGGAAGATCGCCAGTTGGAAAAGAGGGGGGAACTGTTTGTCACCCTTTGCTGTAGAGCTGTGGGCACCTGACAAGCTTCATGAAGGAGGTCATTGGGCTATGTGGACAAGAAGAAAGAAGCCCCTGGCAGGTTCACCAGCTCCTTCAGGGCTGGGGCTTAAAGCGTGGCCCTGGGCTTCAAGCAGGCCCTGGCGCCTCCTCGCAGCTGTTACTGCGCTGTTACTGCAGTTTCAGGCAGAGGTCCAGGAGCTGCAGAGAAGGGGGATGCGCAGTGACTGTGACCTACAGGTACCGAAGGGAGGCATGCATTTCTTTTCAAATCCGAACAGAAGGAAAGAGAATGAACAGGTGGGAGTCCGAGGATGGACCATTTTGGAAAGAGACCGTCAGGGAATGGAAAGGGTTAAGCCTCCATCTGAAGAACCTGCATCCCAGATCAGGCCTTCCTCCCAATGACTAGGTCCTGAGCAGCAGCTATTCCTAGAGACCCATCCCATGCGTCCGGTCCCATCCCATCTCCAGCTCTAAATTCACTACCAGGCTGTAGTGGGTGGTTGAAGACCTAAACTCATTAATTTCCAGGTGGAGAAAATGGAGGATGGGCAGGTCCCTGCAGTAGAGGGAGGAGCTGAGAAAGGAGGCCAAGAGCTGGATCTTCCTACCAGGAAGCCTGCTGCATCCTCCCCACCCCACCTGCTGTGGCAGAGGACTATCTCTGCAAGGCCAAGGCCATAAGGGCTGCTTAGGAGTTTCATTTGATTCCTGACACAGAAATCAAGGCCTACAGAGAGTCTCTGGAAACTTACAGACCTCTTTTCTCCAAAGCCTCAGCCTCACCCTCTCTTAGTATCCAGTGACACTATGGATCAGTGCCCCTCCCTACCTCGTTCGCTCACCAAAATATTGAGTACCTCCTACATGTCAGTCGTGGCATTAGTACATCTTAGGTTCTTTCTTTGCCCTCCCTAAAGGCGTGTTTAAGAGTTGGATAGGCCAAGGGTAGGGTTAGATAGGCCAAGGTTATCCCATCTAGACACTCCCAGAACCTTCTCTGGGTCTGCTGAAATGTGTCACAACCTGCTCAGGCCTGCAGGTAGGAAGCGGCAGCACACGACATGTAGGCTGCAGGTGCCCGAGTCCCAGAAGGCAAGCTTGGCAGTAGGTCAGAAAGAGCAGCTTCTCTCGCCCTAGGGGTGTCCTAAGAGGCACTGGTAGCCATTGCCTTCAGAAAATACCTCCCTGGAAACGAATACCCTCCTGAGTCCTGATGTAGCCGGGGCCCTTTCGGAACTGGTTCATGAAGAGAAGTGTTTTGTGCCTCGCTGAGGTGTAAACAGCCTTACCTCTCCCCGTTCTGCTGAGAAGGCTGCGCTCCGGTGCTCTGAGGCATGGGTTCAGCCTCTGATGTCCACAGCTTTGCCTCACAAATGTCCACAATAGTGAGCCTCTTCTTGGTCATTGCATCTCTGTAATTCCTTTAGACGTTGCTATACCCTTCACTGATGCGCCCTCCGGTGAAATATCCAAGTGCCTCCCAATGCCTTTTCTAGGTGGAAACCTAACAGCTTCTCGCTTCTCCCTGAGAGCTTTTAACCGCAAGCTTGATGGCCAAGGCCTGCCAGGTGTCTGTTGCAGATCATCTGTGATGGGAGGGGAGTATTTTTTGCTTTATTACTTATGTAAACTCTTGTTCCAGAAAGCTTTAGTGTGTGTGAGAGTGTTCTGGAACTGCTGGACCTGGATCAGTGTGGATATTTGCCCATGCACCAGGTCTTACTACAAAATGTGTTTTTCTTTTGGGCTTTAATGGCCGAACATGGCGAAGAGGAATGGACCACTTTGCCCCTTGTGTAAATTGCAAGGTCTCCCTTGTGCAGTGGATGATGCTTCAGATCAGCCCTGATCTGACTTCTCCCCTTCCTGTGTTTGAGGCCTATTTGTGCCCATAGATAATTATGCAAGAAACCTAGAGATTGCTGCTTTTCCAAGGCATTTCTTTAACTCTCAACATCATCTCCCCTACCTGTGATTTAAGCCTAACAACAGCCTACAGCTTAACTAAAGGAGAAAACGTATTGTTAAAAACATACAGGGCCCAGCTGAGTGAATACGCTATGAAGGTCCCCATGGGTTCCTCTACACCACCCGTCATCAGTTCTTGTCTTCCTGTGAGCTTAGATCCTCTTAAGGTAACTGCCTGGTACTTTAAGATCAATTTAGGAATGTACCAGAAAAATTGGTAATATTCTTTCCCCTGCCAGAGACAGCCCTGATCCTCTGTTTCAGCAGATGAGAAATGGACCTTTTAACAAAAGTAAAGGACTCTAAATTACTTCTATTACCAGAGGGAGGAGTAAGCTTTTGTGAATACCTGAGCACCTTTAGCCAGAGGACCATCTGGGGAAGGGGGTCCATCCCAATTGGCATATATCCATATATACATTTTCTCATATGATCAATCATTTCCATTGCCTATACGTATAGGAAGTCTTTTAATCTCACCCCCCCCAAAAAAAAGTCCATCCATCTCTGTTTCCACAGGGAAATTAAAAAAAAAAAAAAAACTTACATAATACCACCTCCCCTCCTAAAATGGAGCCCTCTGAAGCAGCTGTAAAGCATTCTCCCTAGCACTGAGGGAGCCTCCCCTTCCTCAGCTACTCTGTGGGTGGTTTTAGAGCCCAATGAGTCAACTTGGGCTGACTGAGGAGTTGTGCTGGTGGCGTGCCTGTGTGTTGGGGGCTTGGCTGGCTGATTCACAGTGATGCATCCGTCAATAAGTGATGAGAATTATGGTACTTAATAAAGATTTTTTTCTTTCACGTCCCATCTACAATTCTTTCGCTGGGTATTTTACTAAGCCTTACTCGATTTTACTTTTTTTAAAAAAAAACCATACCTAATAATTCATTGCATCTCCAACGTAGAAATAGAATAAGGGCTTCAAAGAGGCAGTGTGTGTTGCTTGTTGGGTCTGCAGGAAGCCCGCAGAGACCTTGGTGCACCAAATGTAGATGACTTGTGGGGGTTGGGGGAGCAGGCCTCCTTGAGCTGGGAATGTTTAGGGTCAGAAAAGGAGTCAGCAGCTCTCAGCAGGTTCACCTTTTTATGTTCTCATTCTCCCTTTTATCTTCAAATGGAAATGTTACCAAGAAAACGAGGGACCGGGGTCCACTGCAGAAGCCCAAAGAATAAACCATCAGGTTCACTAGGGACTTTCTCTTAAAGTAGGAGCAGGGAATAGAGGAAAAGGTTTATTTTCCATTCAAATAGTGTCTCTTTGTTGCTTGAACACATACAAAGCATTGGGACCCAAGAAGCGATTGTGTTGCTGCAAGTTCATTTTGCTACTTGGTGTAAATTAACCACTTCAGGTGGTTCTGCAAATTCCCTCGGGCTGCCGAATCCCATCTCTGCCCCTGGCGGT